CCTTTCGGGGGTGGGGGGCAGGCAGGACCAGTGCTTCCCAGCTTCCAGCTGGGGTCAGTCCCCAGGGAGCCTGTGCTGAAGTTTTGAGGGAATGCGCATTTCCTCTGAGCCTCACAGCAGCCCTGAGAAGGTGTGAGGCTTTACTGGGCCCTACACATCACAGCTGATGTCACAAGTTACAGACCAAGGCTCCTAACCCTGTCTTTCTCTCTCAGAGGTATTGCTTTTAACTAAAATCTCTTCAGTTTTTTCTTTGCTCAGCCTAAATAAACTTAGTTTCTTCAACTTTTCTCCCTAGGGACTTTATTTCTAACATATTCAATGGTTAATGATTGTTATTTTGTAACTTTTTAAAGATTTTCTATTTCACATGCCATATTTTAGAAAGGCATTAAAAGGAACACAGGACAATAATTTTTGGTGTTATAGAATTTACCACACTGCTTATTCCGTTCTCTCTAGCCAGTACCTCCAAGTCTTTGATGCTGCCTTAGCCTTTCCATTCCAGGGCTTCTCTCTGTGAGGTAGAATATGTCTGAGGAGACAAACACAGGGTTATGTGTTCACCACAGAGGTCTTTTCCAGGAGTGTGGTTTGGGGATTGCTAGTGCTCTAAAGAACATGAAAGAAGGCTGTTATTGTGTTGAGAGACAGAAATGTGGCTGGCTTCTCACAGACACAGCCTCACAGGGCCATTCCACATGATTCCTGAGTAATCCCTGCTCATAGGAGTGATCCTTCACTTCCATAGCTGACCTGTTACCTCCTCTCTTCTGTGATCTAAAGAGGTCATTTAATTTTCTTTAAGAAAGGGTTTTTTGTTTGTTTGTTTGTTTGTTTTTTAAAATTAAGTAATCTCTACTCCCAACATAGTGCTTGAACTCAACCCTGAGATCAAGGGTCACATGCTCTACTGACTGAGCCAGCCAGGCACCCCTAGGTCATTTAATTTTCAGTCCGTGTATCCATCCCTCCTACCTATTTTCTTCTCAGAGCCATGCTTTATTAAATGAGGAGACTGTACTAAGTTAGAGTTGGGCATCATCAGAAGGCTCCATGATTCAGTCCCCAAGGCTGCCCTTGACCAACTACGGCAGTATTCTTGGAGCAGTGACTTGTTAGGAGTGCCCTGCTAGATCAGGTGAAAAGTCTTCTGATGTATCAATCTTTGTATCTAGGTTGATAGGACATTATTGAAATTTTATGAATCTGTTCCTCACAAAGCTGGATTAGTCTTTGTTAGTTTTTGAATTTATTTTGCTAACCCAGCAGGTATGGAGGAAACAGTCGAATATGTCTATAGCAGGAAAAATCCATTTTATGTTTCAAAGCATATACCCCACAGTTTTCTGTGGCAGTTTTTAGGTACTTTATCAGACCCTTATATGTTTTAACAAATAATTGCTAGTGGCCCTCATTGCTGATGAAACAAGGCCAGGTATTCCTTGTTTTTAAGGCATTCTGGTCTGCAGCGTGCAATCCTCCTAATTTAATGAGGGAATCTTCCATTGGATTCTCCCTTCTTTCTCGGTGCCTACCTGCTTTTCCCCTCTGGGGCTGCCCACACCAATGATAAGATCACAGGGAACTTATCTTTAAAGCTCAGAGGTAAAAATAAGTACAGCATTAAAAACATCCAATCTTTTGGTGTGATTTATTTAGAGTTCTTCTCCCTTTGAAATGAAAGGCTTTCCTTTTGCTATTTTGTTTTTCCTTGCTTGTCAGCAATATCTGCACGCATCCTGTGATGCCGTGAGCCTGAACGTTGGGGCAGGCCTGCTGGCGTTCAGGTCTTTGCCTGCCTCCAGCTGTGAAATACATGAATAATAATGTTGACCTCATGGAGCTGAAGTGAGAATTAAACTCTCTAATATGTGAAAGTGCTTTGTTATTAACTTTAAGTACATAGATAGATGGAAATGGCAAGTATTAAGTGTTTTCTTATGCCCAGAATTGCCAAAAGCCACATCTTAGTGATTTCAGCCAGGATATTCAGAAAGGCCATAAGGTTAATAGATTATTAAAGGCGCCCCTCCCACTCTCTGAAATGTTTCTGTTTGTGCTACTCTCATTCTATATGTGTGTCTCTGTTTCTTTTAATGACTTCCATGATCTCTCAACTCTAGTAGCTTTCTACAACGGGATATAACAGAGAAGTATCTTTTATTTATTTATTTATTTATTTATTTTTAAATTTATTTATTTGACAGACACAGCGAGAGAGGGAACACAAGCAGGGAGAGTGGGAGGGGGAGAAGCAGGCTCTCTGCTGAGCAGGGAGCCCGATGCGGGACTCGATCCCAGGACCCTGGGATCTTGACCTGAGCCGAAGGCAGAGGCTTTAACCCACTGAGCCACCCAGGTGCCCCGAGAAGTATCTTTTAATTATTAATTACCGCTGCTATATAATCTTAAGTAAGTGAAACCAAATGGGAACACTGTATAGTATTATCTCTCTAGATAACTCACATAATTTTCTTTTTCATTGATCAATTAATTCTTGAGTTAATGATTTTCAGGAGCTCTTTCCACTCCATTGGTCTGTGCTTTTGATGCTGGGGAGTTACAGCAGGGCTCCTACGTCACTTTTCTAATTGAGGCACATCTTTCCTTCTTTCTTTTAGAAGTGGATTTCATAGAATTTTATACTCACTTTGTCCCAAGAAACCTACTGAAAAGTATATGATACAGAAATGAGAGTTCATAACTATAAAATAAATCAAATACTCTATTTTGGTGACTTTTTAAAAAAATAATGGGGAGTGTGGGGTCACTTATAGTGTGAGGATGGGAATTTTGAGAATTTAGGCACTTCAGAATCAGACTGGCAGTTACAAGCTCTAGGTTTGTGTGTTTCATTTTTTCCTTTAAAAAATATCTTCCTTTTCCCACTAACTTGCTTGGGAAATGACAAATCAGCACATCTTTGGGATTTTAATGGCCAAGCAAACCCAACCTTAACTCAGCTGTCCCTCTGCAGTTCTAGACTGTGCCTTCTGTGCCTTTCTCTGTCTCCCGAGAAGTCCTCATAGTCAAATTGTGACTATCCACTGAGCACATTATGTTAGTTCAGACTCTTGAGATTACAAGTGATAGCCCACAAGTCAAACAAACTCAGTTCAGAGTGGGTGAGGGGAGGGCGGGCCAGTAGCAGGAAGGATGGAATCCATGCGTCCTTCCACATCAGCATCTCTGCAAAGCGCCCATGGCTCAAGCTGCTTCCCTCCTCAGCCTCTACAACTGTTAGGAAAGGCCGTGATCTTTTCTCAGCATCTCGAAGCAGCCCTCTTATTCTGCTAACCTTACCCTTCTGTCTGTCCCGCCTCCTCCCTGCGCTGGTTTAGTTAATTCCTACTTATTCTCCTGGACATCTTTTCCAGCCTTCGACCTGAGGTGCATCCCTGTGTGTGTGTGTGTGTGTGTGTGTGTGTGTGTGTGTGTGTGTGTGTGTTTTGTTTTAAATTCAGTTAGCCAACCTATAGTATATCAGTAGTTTCAGATGTAGTGTTCAACACCTTTTATATGTTTTTATAACATCCTGTGCTCAGGACCTGTCTGTTCACTTATCAAACTTTATGGTAATTGCTTGTTTACTTATTCATTTCCCAGCTAGACTGTGGCCTTCTAGATGGTGGGAACTGTGTCTGATTCATGCTTCACTGCTTGTCCATGGTCTCTTTCATAAACAGAGAAAGGTATTTGTTGAATGAGTGAACATGGGATCTATGGTCCTTTTGGTGACTTGGCTTTCTGGGCCGAGCTCAGGACAAATGGCAAAGCATTTTCCCCTAATGATATCAAAGCCCCACTTCTAACATCCTTCATTCTAAAACCAGACCAATGTGATACCCTTCCTCAAACAGACTCAGTAAAGAAATGTGAATATGCATGCAAATAGCTCTTTAGGTCACTTGTTGTTTTGGTAATAATCAAAATTTCATGTAATATTTAGGTACAAATGATAATGACTTAAAATATACTTATAAAATATGGAAGTGAACCTTACTTAATGGATAGCCAGATCAACTGTATAGTAGATATGAACAGAGGGACAAAAATTGGTCAGAAAGATTCTTGACTGAACATTCGTTTTTAGTGGTTTATTTTTAATCTTTTTTTCATTGACTCCATTTGTTTTGATGAGCAATCTAACAGTCTTTTAAGTAACGTGAAAAAACTTTTACTAATGCATGCTAACTTTGTCAATTTGTCCTTCCTTCTTAGAAGTAATGATGGTATTAAAATCTTTAATAACTGCCAAAAATACACCCTTAAACAACTGGGTCCATTTACACATAGATTTTTTCCCAATAAATACTGTATAGCACTGGAAATGTATTTTCTTTTCCTTATGGTTTTATTAACATTTTCTTTTCTCTCACTTACTTTATTGTAATACTACAGTATATAATGCAAATAACATGCAAAATATGTGTTAATTGACTTTATGTTACTGGTAAGTCTTCGGGTGATAGTAGACTGTTAGTGAAGTTTTGGGTGATGTCAAAAGTTATGGGCAGATTTTTTACTCTGTGGAGGTTTGGTGCCTCGAATACCCACACATTCAAGGATCAGCTGTACTTATTTTCTATTTGTTCTAAAGTTGAAGTATTCCTTGTTGGGTCATCAAGAACTCTAATGTGTGGGTCTCACAAAATATATAAGATCTTCTCTTTTTGACTGACAGTTTAGTAACCAGCTTTGGTTAGAATCCTCAGTGGTTATGAATCCATGAAGACCATTCACGGCAATAGTTTTGGGAGGCAGAAACTAAAAAGCTGCTTTTTTCTTTTATGTGGCTATTTTCTTTCAGGACATAGCCCTTGACACCTAGCATTCTGAGCCTTTGTGATGCTGAGCCATTTTAATGGGATTTTGTTAGGGTTCTAAGAACTTTTGTCATCTGAAACAAATGATTTCACCAGACAGAAAAATGGAACACTCTGTTTTATTGACATACTTATATGTTCCTTATTCTTCTCCTTCTCTCTTTTTTTCAGTGAGCATGTTTTTGAACACATTAACACCGAAGTTCTACGTGGCCCTGACAGGCACTTCCTCACTAATATCAGGGCTCATTTTGGTAAGTGGTAGAATCCTTCCTATCTGAAAGCATGCTGATTACTAACATGTTAGTATATGTACAGGAAATAATTCTGGAAGAATATATACCAGTAGCTTATGGTGATTCATCTTGCATGTGTGTGTATGTTGGGTGGTTGGACAATAGAGGACTTCCATTGCCCAGGTTGCATATATCTAAAATATTTTTTAAAAATTTAGATAGTCTTATATTACTTTTGTTGAAGGGGAAAAACAAAATATGAAGAAAATGGAAGATAAAGGAAGACAATTCTGTGTCAAATTCTAGTGTCTGAGATACTGTAAAATACATGTGAACCAGTTCAGCTAAAAATGCTTTTCATCATTCTTTTTAAAATGGATTATTGACCGTAATCAAGATCAGTAGAAATACAGCCCAGTTTCTTTATTTTTATTTATTTATTTATTTATTAGATTTTATTTACATTCAAGTTAGTTAACAAACAGTGTATTGTCAGTTTCAGGGGTAGAATTTAGTGATTCAGCAGTTGCACATAATACCCAGTGCTCATTAAATCAAGTGCCCTCCTTAATGCTCATCACCCAATTACCCCATCCTCTCCCCTCCCTTCCAGCAACCCTTAGTTTGTTCTGTATAGTTAAGAGTCTCTTACGGTTTGCCTCTTTCTCTGTTTTTGTCTTATTTTTCCTTCCTTCCCCTGTGTTCATCAGTTTTGTTTCTTAAATTCCACATGAGTGAAATCATGGGGTATTCGTCTTTCTCTGACTGACTTATTTTGCTTAGCGTAGTTCCATCTGCGCCATAGAAAATAGTAAGGTTTCATTCTTTTTGATGGGTGAGTAATATTCTGTTGTAGATACATACCATATCTTCTTTATCCATTTGTCCACTGATAGACATCTGGTCTCTTTCCATAGTTTGGCTATTGTGGATAGTGCTGCTATAAACACTGGGGTGCATGCTGTTTTGCCCGAGTTTTCGTGTCTGAGAGACCACCAAGGAACCAAAACTGATGCAATCACACGAGGGTTTATTCGACAAGCTTAAGCTTGGGCCCAAGTATACCCGACACAGCGGAGTAGGGACTTGGACCCCCGAGCTTAGTTAAGGCAGGGGTATTTATGTGTTCCTGTTATTAAAGCAGGGTGGGGGTCTCTGGAACTAAAGCAGGGTGGGGCTTCCTGTTACTAAAGCAGGGTGGGGGTCCTTAGAACTAAAGTAAAGTAGGGGAAAGTTCAGCCATTGGGCACAGGGGTCTGAGATGGATGTCGGAGCCAAGATGGCTGTAGTTATGCTAAGGCTAAACCTGAGGTGGGATGGCCTTAATTTTTCTTGGCCTCCACACACGCGCCCCTTCGAATATCTGTATTTGTATCTTTGGGTAAGTACCTAGTAGTGCAATTGTTGGGTCGTAGGTTGTTCTATTTTTAACTTTTTGAGGAACCCCCATACTTTTCTCCAGCATGGCCGCACCAGTTTGCATTCCCACCAACAGTGTAAGGGGGCTCCCTTTTTATTGCGTCCTTGGCCAACATTTGTTGTTTACTGAGTTGTTGATTTTACCCATTCTGATTGGTTTGCAGTGGTATCTCATTGTGGTTAGCTCAGTTTCTTTAAATGTATTGAGGTGGACCTGGCCATTATAAGCTTTTCTTCCCTTTATCTTCTTTTCCTCCGAAATTTACATTTCCCTATTTCTTTGACAGAGGGAGAGCACATGCAGAGGGAATGGCAGAAGGAGAGGGAGAAGCAGGCTCCCGACTGAGCAGGGAGCTTGACGTGGGGCTCAATCCTAGGACCCTGAGATCATGACCTGAGCTGAAGGCAGACGCTTAACCAACTGAGTCACCCAGGCACCCCCATTTCCCTATTCCTTGCTTTCAAAAATTCCAACTAGGCAAAAGCAACAATAATCATCTCTATGGCTCCATTAGTTTATGCTCTAAATAATTATAAGTGTGATAAAGTATAACACCTGAAGTAGGTGTTTGTTTTTTTTAATTTAAGTGACCTTACACGGGTACCATCTAATTCACTGTAATCACGCTAGTATAATTAAATGACCTTTAAGGAGAAAGTTTTAATTTTTTTTTTTTGCCTACACATAATGCTGTGATTACTAATTACTAATTTTTGTAGAGATAAGAATAAAAAAGATACGACAGAGTTGATGTTAAGAGCACTAGAAAAACACAAGTTTTAGGGGAGAAGGGCATATAAATGGAACAAATACATATACGAACCTAGAGCAGTGGAGGGTTTCAGAGGCTTGAGCTCGTAGGGTAGAGCAATGTATGCAGGGCAGAAACCTGTAAATAGCTTAAAGGAATGGTGGTAGTTTGGGAGCATTTCTTTTTGTGGTCAAAGCATATTCAGGTTAATCTTGCTCTGCTGTATCACCTGGGTTGCTGTACCCAAGGGAGGAAATGTTTGAAGTTGATATTACTGGGACGGACATGTGAAGAACATGAGTAAAAACCACTCCAAGATGTTTTATAAATGGAAATCTGCATAGAAAGCCCAATACTGCACAGAGACCAAGCCAAGGTGAAGGGAAGCATATTAAAACTTCTCCTTGATATCGGTTGAAATAAGGTGTGTATAGTAATTTGTACCTTATTGCCTCTTATATGCAGATCTGCATACCCATCATTGTCTCTAAGTGTTCTCTGTTCTGTGGGGACATGTGAAAAATAGGGATACTAGAAAGAGTTGTTCACAAAGCTCTAAGGTGATTTGCTTAAGCGCATGTTAGTTTGTGGCAAAGTCAGGCCTAGAACCCATGTCCTCAGGTTCCCACCTTGATATTCTTTGATGGACTGAAAAACTTCAAACTTAGAAAATGATTTCAAATGCTTGATAAATGATTAATGAGGATGTGCTGAAAACATGGCAGCCTTTTAGCATGTATATTTTTGGGGAGAGAGGAGAGGGTATTTCAAGTCTTCAACTATTAGTTATTTTCATTTAAAGTAACATTTTAGTATTTTCTTCCTAAAATAGCTTTGAAATATTTTTTGATTAAATAAACCAAAGAAAGTGAACTTTTAGGTGCAATCTGAATAACAATTTCATGCTAAAAATTAGTAATTCACTCTGATGCAGAAAATAGCTTTTTGTTTGTGTATTCCTCCCTCAAGGGTGTTTACTTAAGAACGGTTTACCCACTTAGATGGTGCCTACTGTGTGCCAGGCACTGATCTAAGCACTTTACATGCTAATTCATTTACTCAACAGTAGGAGGAGGTAATTGCCAGCCTTGTTTCCATTTTACTAATGGATAGGCTGAATAGGTAGCATAGGCAAGTGAGTAACGGGCCTTGGGTCACTTCTGGGGCAAATAGTGAAAAGCAGGAGTTCATCCCAGGCAGGCTGTCACTCATTTCATCACCTTCTGGTTAAGTTCTCAGCTATTTTCCTAGCTTGCTGGACAAATGGCAGGTCTGGATTTTATCTTGGTGTGGGTTCGCTAGGCTATAAATTGCCAGAATGTGGGTGATTTCCTTTTTCTCTGGTAAGCTAGACCCAGCAATCCTTTTACCTTCCAATTCAGGGAGGTGAAATCCCACCTGCCTACTTTTCTTGTTCTCCAAATGAAGGGATTTCAGCAGAGCGCGACCCCCTCCGCCGGACCGCCTCTCCTGTGTTCGGGGGGAGGGGGCAGCTGCTGAAACCAGACAGGCAGTGTGCGGAGCGTCTCAGGTGGCATCTGTCCTGCAGCCTTCTCAGGAGGCACTAGCTGTGCTTGATGTGAAACTTTGACCTTCGGAAAACCCATGATGTTTGAAGATTTTGGAAGGCCTTGCTCAAAAATGCGTGGTCCATACTTAGGGCAAAATCGCTACGATGCAGGAATAGTTCTAGATAGCTTTAGCCTCCTGCTTGAGAGATTATGGGCATTGGTGTTGTCCTGCCTTTGGGGACTTAGCTTTGGTAGCCCTTGAAATGTACCCAGGGTTGAGGTTTCTATTCAGCCACTGTTCTTTTCTGCCAAGTGCATTCATGAGAGGCAGCACTGGGGTAAAGGTTCAGGTCCTTAGTGGTTTGTTTGCTGGCACTGAGAGACAATTACCTAACTACTCTCCCCTGAGTGATGGACGGAGAGCCGAGCAGTGAACACTGAAAGTACAGGGATGCCTCTGGGGAAGTGGTTGTTTGGGGACCTCAGGATTCCTATGCTGGAGATGGAAATTGTCATGCAGTGTGTTGTCTTAAGAGAAGAGGGGTAAATAAAAACACCCTGAAAAAGTCATCTAACTGAACAAATATACATACAAGTAAAATGTATTTGGCAAATGCTACTGTCTTTTACACTAATGTGTTTAAAAAGAGATAAGTATTAATTGATGTGTATTTTACTAGACATCACTGCTTCTTCTTAATTTTGCAGGTTGAAAGCCAGCAAAGAGTTTGGTTACACCACCTACCTTTCACTCTTCCCTTTTGGTCTTGTGCCCATATACTCATCCAGCCAGCTCTCTCCCTTGCTCAACTCCAAGAGGCCCCCTGCCCTCTTGGCCTCTTGGCACAAGGCTACCGATCTCAGTCCAGTTCCAGCCACAGGAACTGCACCTGTCCTCACAGTCCGAACCAACCAATTTAGTCTTTTAGTTGCTTTAGCAAGGACATGCCCAGTCTGTTTAAAGTAGCCTCTCAGAATAATGTTCATTTCAATGGAGAAGATTTCTGGGTTTTCTTTTTATTTTTGAGAGTGGTAAGGTGGTTATGTGGAGAAAATGCTCCCCTTAATTTTTTCGAAATGTTGGTAGAACGGAGAAAATGCTGTATCTTATATGGACATTTATACATAGATTCTTCATTATCATGGATGTAGACATGCTTCTACACCTACATTTTACACATATATTAAACAGATATAAAAAGAGGCATCTAAGGCATAATTTTAAAAAGTGAGAATCAAGAACTAAAGAGGGAGGAAATTAGAATAGTAAATAAAAGACTTAGCTCATAGATTACATGTAAAAAATTATGTTTTTGGCAAAGTGTAGAAGAGATGA